AGATTTGTTCATGTAATGCAGATACATTTTAATTAATATTTTATTAACTTTTTATTGTTTTAATATTTTAATTTGAAATAATCTCATACATGTAAAAAAACTATAAAATACTACAGCATATTATATGTACCCTTCACCCAATTTCTTAGGTGGTAATAATTTAAACAGAACCATTATACAACTAACAAAATTTGGGATATATTTTTCTTATAATCTCTTTAATGTTACTTAATCCATTTACTTTGTTTTTGTTAATCTCACCCAATGATATTTTTTCAAAACTAAGCTCAACATGGGGGAGACCTGGGGTGGGACAGGGGTTGGGTGAAGAGTGGCAAAAAGGAAAAAATCAGAGACATCTATAATACTGTCAACAATAAAATAAAATAAAATAAATTTTAAAAAGACAATTAAGCTAATGGAAAAAATTCTTCAAATATTGGCAGATCCTGTAAACTCTGCTTAAGCAGGAAATTTTTAATTTTTTTATACTTACCAAATACCTAATTATTTTTCTTAAAAATCCCCTCATAATATATACTAAGTAAAGTTTTCTAGCCATAGAGATTCTCACTAAAGCTAATTATAAGGAAACAAATTACAAGACAAGGTATACTAAATTCTAAAAGTGCTACAAATATTTATGTTTGTGATGACTGTTACATTAATGTCCCCCAATAAATCTCACTTCTTGGTTAAAAAAAAAATCAACTAAGCTTGAAATGTCAACAAATGGATTAGGCTAGCCTCATGAATTCAGAAACACAATATAAGATTAATTTGTCTCCATGCTTTCATTCATGTTATTTTTCATACCTGCAATGTTATTCCTTTTTTGCAACATTTATGCAAATAGAGGACACAGCCCAGCTGGCGTGGCTCAGTGGTCGACCTATGAACCAGGAAGTCACATTCGATTCCCCGTCAGGGCGCATGCCCAAGTTGTGGCCTCAATTCCCAGCATGGGGCTTGTAAGAGGCAGCCCATCAATAATTCTCTCGGGGGGGGGGGGATGTCAAGCTGGGTAAAAGGAGACATATGTAAAACTTTAGGCAATAAATAAAATAATTATCTCTCATCATGATGTTTCTATCTCTCTCCCTCTCCCTTCCTCTCTGAAATAAAAAATATATTTTAAAAAAAAATAGAGGTCACAGTTCAAATCCTCCTGTAACCACTTCAGCACTCACCTGTTGTCTCCTTTCTTTGAATTTACATAATACAAATTGAGTGGCCTTCAAAAATTAGCTGTTTTCCTCTATGTTGGAAAGTTTCCTGAAGAGAGGTGTCATATCAAAGTCCATAACAATAATAAGCACACAGTTAGCATTCAATGAATACTTACTAACTCAATGGTAGATCTGAATATATATATATATCTTAGATTTTTGGCTTCCTAATCATCCTTTGCCTCCACATTGCCATATACCAGAAAAAAAAGTATACTATTTTGTTTTTCATTTTACTAGCAAATATTAGACCACCTAGAAAAATTTGGGGCCTGTAAACATTGACATCAATCTTAAATTTATTTTACTTTTTATTTTTATTTTGTTTTATTTTTTTTAATATATTTTATTGATTCTCCACAGAGAGGAAGGCAGAGGGACAGAGAGTCAGAAACATCGATGAGAAAGAAACATCGATCAGCTGCCTCCTGCACAATCCCTGCTGGGGATGTGCCTGCAACCAAGGAACATGCCCCTGATCGGAATTGAACCCGGGACCCCTGAGTCCGCAGGCCAACGCTCCATCTACTGAGCCAAACCGGCTCGGGCTTATTTTACTTTTTAAATGGCCAAGTCTATCATCTCATTTCAGGAAGAAAAACCTAATTACTAAAACACTGGAAAAGAAACACTTATTTCTGCAAAGTGAAAAAGAAAAAGGCAATTGTTACTTCAGAATCCTTGAATGAGCAATGCAAATTCTCTAGGTACAGGAAGAAATTAAGCAAACTCGAAATAAAATCAGATTAGAAAATTGACATTTATAACAGTACACTTCTTCAGTATAACTATAATTCATTGTCGAAACGTGACATACTACTTAAAACATGGAGAAAATACATGAACATTTTGAAAAATTTGGTCAACTGGTCAGATTTTTCTAAACCTATCTCAACAATAAAAAACACACACGGTTTAAATAATGTTTTTCTGAACCTGAACTATACTGCACATGGTACCATTTAGGGATATCTGACTAGAAAAATGATCAGTCACTCCATGAAGCTCTTGATGGGGGGACCTCAAGAAATTAGCTACATAGTTAATAAACTTGGTAATTAATGCATGTAGAAAACTATTGTTCCAGGAACCTTGGTGTCCCAGGAGGACTGCAAGCGATCCATTGCACTCCAGGGAGAGAATGTCTGCTGCCAAGACACAGCTAAAGAATCACCTGTCAGCAGATGAAGGGATGCTAGGAAAATCACCAGACTGCAGCTTTTATATGATTAACCTTTTCCCTGAATTCCAAACCCCTAACCTACTTTTTCCTCAATTCCAAACCCTTCACCTACACTTTTCTTCTCCTTATAAAAAAGGTCAACTTGAGATGACATGTAAGATGGGGTTTACGGTAAATTACCCACCATCTTCTCAGATCACCAGTCATCTGAATATAGCACCCATAAAGCTTCAATCCTTGTCTCTACTTATTGGTTCTGGTAGTGACAAGTAACACAAATGTCGATTTTTTGGGTTTCATTCCCACTCCATCCTCTTTTGGGTAGGTGCTAAGAAATGTGCTTGTTGATAAGTATCTAGTCCCAATCTAATATGAATAAAAAAAATCTAATGTAATTCTACCAGAGTAAAGAAAGAACACATACATAACCAAGCAAATAACTGAAGCCAGAGAATGGATTATTTCACAACATTTGCCACTCAGCCTATCTGGTGATTCTGTTTTCAAGAAACTGACTTCAAGGCCATACTGAAACTAACTTAAAAAAAGGGGGGTGGGGGGGTGGAGGAGCCTAAGAATGAACTAAATCACTGAATCAGAGCTAGAAGGGATTCTAATGATTTTGGAGATGAGAAAAGAGATTAGAATTAGGTCATACAGGTACTGGTAGCAAAGGCTAGAAAATGAAGCTTCTAATTCCCAGAAGAGCTACAGATATTTACTGAGTGCTAGGCACTGTTAGACCAGTGCCCACTCTTGCATATCATGATACATCCCAGAGATGCTCAAAAACATTTAAAATATTAATTTAAAACTTACATTTTCTCTAAAGAAATTTCTGTATTAGAGCAAGACAGTATCCACATCTCTAACAAGCATGTTAAAATAAACAGAGAAAAAAACTTTAGTAGAAAAGAATTTGGAATTCCAAATAATTTACCCTTCCTGTCCTAACTATAAAAATGCACATGCTGTTGTTTACCATTAAAAAGAGTTAAAACCATCAAAAGACATCTCTACCCAAGTTTCATGAGCCAATAGTTTAAGACAAATGAGCCTTATCCTGTTGGGAAAATGATCTGTTTTTGTCACATCCCACTAAAGAATTAGCTCTGTCACAGGATTAAAGTACAGCCATCTGAGGACAAAAGTCTAGGCAGAAAAAGAAACAATACTGAAATTTGATAAAGACCCCTCAGGAATATGGCATTTAGCTGTTTCAATGGCACCTTTCATCTAAGGATCTCAAAACAAATGTTATTTACATTACCAAGAATCAAAACTGTAGCACCGTGGCCTAATAAAAAAGCATATCAATGACCTAGAGCAGCGGTTGCCAACCAGTGGTCCTCGAACCACTGGTGGTCCGTAAGGTCCAATAGGTTGGCGACCGCTGACCTAAAGGGAATTCAATACTGATGTTCTAAACTCAGCCCTCTGCTCTAAAAATCAAGATCTAGTTTTATGTAAAAGTAGTGTGATATAGTAAGAAATATATGTCTTCATTCTTAATTCCTGGTACAGAGCTCCTAAAACCCTTGGAATTTCCTGAGGGATAAGTCTCTTCTTTTATTCATAAAAAATCCCTTTCGCCCTAACTAGTTTGGCTCAGTGGATAGAACATTGGCCGACGGACCAAAGGGTTCCAGGTTCAATTCTGGTCAAGCACACGTACCCCAGCTTGCAGGCTCCTTCCCAGTCTGGGCCCTGGTTGGGGTGCATGCAGGAGGCAACCAGTCGATGTGATTCTCTAACAGCGATATTTCTGTCTGTCTTTCCCTCTCTCTAAAAATCAATGGAAAGTCCAGCCGGCGTGGCTCGGTGGTTGAGCGTCGACCATGGTTCGATTTCTGGTCAGGGCACATACCCAGGTTGCAGGCTCAATCTCCAGTAGAGGGCGTGCAGGAGGCAGCTGATCAATGCTCTCAACATTGATATTTCTATCTCTCTCTCCCTCTCCCTTCTTCTCAGAAATCAATTTAAAAACATATTTAAAAATCCATGGAAAAATATCCTCAAGTGAGGATTAAAAAAGAAAGAAAAAAATCCCTTTCAACCATACCTGAGTTTAAGCTAATGAGGCAACTCTGGGTGGCCTCCGAGATACCTTCAGAACGGAACTGGTTGCCAAAGCAGCCAAGCATCTGAGTAGAAAGCTGGAACTTTCAAGCCCTGCGTCCAATCTGGGAAAGGGAGAGGCTGGAAACTGAGTTAATCATCGATACCATTGATTTAACCAATCATTCCTAGATAATGGAACCTCCACAAAATCCCCTAAACAAAAGAGTTCAGAGAGCTTCTGGATGATGAACACTCTTAGGTACTGGAGGGTGGTGGGCCCAGAGAGAGCATGGAAGCTTCCCATACCTTGCCCTATGTATTTCTTACATTTGGCTGTTTGTGAGTTGTATCCTTTATAATAAACCTGTAAACATAAAGTGTTTTTTGAGTTTTGTGAGTCAACCCAGGGAATTATCAAAACTGAGGAGGGGGTTGGGAGAACCCCCCGAATTTGTAGAGAAGCCAGAATTTGTTGCAAAGCACAGGTGGCCCAGGACTTGCAACTGGCATCTACAATGGGGGCAGTCTTGTGGAACTGAGCCCTTTAACTTGTAGGATCTGCCACTAACTACACGTAGATAGACAATTGAATTGTCAGAAGCTCAGTGTTACAGAATTGGACAATTGGTTGTTATGGGTGGAAGTGGAGTTCTTGCAACATCACATGGAGAAGAATTTCCTGAGACTCTCAGGGGAGGATGAGTAATATCTATTTGGGTAGAAATAAACCCCTGGGTTTTAATGTCCCATTTCCCTCCGTCCTGCCACGGAATGTGTCCTTCAGCAGGGTCAGAATAAAGGCCACTGCTCACAATTTCTGCTTCATATTAAAGTCCAGCATCATGCGTGTGGAGTCAGCACGGCCATGGGCTATGCGCCTGCCAACGCCACCTGGCTATGGAGAGAGAATGTGTGAATGCACAATGAGTGTAGGTCCTGCACGGAGCAAGAGAGGAAAAGAAAGAAGGGAACTCTTTGTCTGGGATTTTAACAGGAGCTTCTTCAAACTAACCAATTAACTTTCCAAGATTTCCTGAGCTTTGCTGGGGTTTACCCCCAAGCCAATCCACTGTTCCCCAGGCTAGACTGATGACAGGCAAGCACCTCCCCTGCCCCACCACTTCTACAGTTCATGTGCCTATCTCCTTCTCCTCTCTCCCCCGACACCCCCACCCCGCCCCAACAATCCAGTCCAGGGAGGGGAAAGAAAGAACTATTAATCCCCTGATAGGAACAATGCTATGTGAAGCTGTAGCTTCCTGGTGAAGCTTCCCAGGTGACCACGATTACAATGTCTGACTTCCCTTTGTTTTCTTTTCTTTATTAATATTAACTAGCTAATTACAACAGAAAGAGTTGTGGTATGGAAAAACACACACACACCAGTAATTCACTCCTAGTGTATATTTGTAAAGCTTGGAGATACAAATGGATTTATTGATATAATGTCTCACTTTACCTTGCTGCACATATATGAAGACCCAAAAATTTGAGCAATGTTGTCAGAATAGTTACTAAAAATAATTAGCGTTAATTTTATGAAATATATGTCATCTTTGTGCCAAGCATTAAGGTTAGGATAAATTATTTCCAGTATATACAACTCTAAAATGTAGATATTGTCCCCAATAGCAGATGTGAAAATTAATCTCATTAAATTTCCAACTGCACACAAGTGACAGAGCTAAAGACTAAACCTAGTTATAACAAACAAACTCTTATATATTATAGCAAGCTTTACTTTTTTAAAAAAATATATTTTATTAATTTTTTACAGAGAGGAAGGGAGAGAGATAGAGAGTTAGAAACATCAATGAGAGAGAAACATCGATCAGCTGTCTCCTGCACATCTCCTACTGGGGATGTGCCCATAACCCAGGTACATGCCCTTGACCTGGAATCGAACCTGGGACCTTTCAGTCTGCAGGCCGACGCTCTATCCACTGAGCCAAACCGGTTTTGGCCAAGCTTTACTTTTTATTATTTATATAAAATTATAAACTCTCCAACAATCCTTGAGAATAATATGTCCCAAATTATGCTCTTTGAAGACTTGTCTTAAAGAAAGACAAGTATGGGGGGTGGGAAGGAGGGACCTCTAAATTCTGATCTACTCCAGAGTTAACTAAGTTTTTCAACCTCTTCTTATGTTTCTATTCCCTCCCTTAGTGATCTCATCCAGGCTCCTGGCTTTAAATATATTCTATTTGACAACAGTGGACCCTTTCTCCTGTATTCCAGATTCATAAACCCAACTAACTACCTATGCAACACCTCTACTAAGTCTAATAGGCATCTATAACGTAATATGTCCAAAACTGAACTATTCTTTCCCTCCACACTTATTCTTTTCAGGCTTCCCCATCTCAATAAATGGCAATGGCATTCTTCCAGGAACTCATCCTGAACTCCATCTTTTCCTTCCCAGCACACATCCAATCTATCAGCAAAGCTAGTTGTCTTTACCTGAAAAATATATTCAGAATCATACCATGTGTCACCATATTCACTGCTACCCATAGTGCAAATGGTCATCTTCTCTCACTTGGACTACAGCAGTAGCCCAACTGCTATTCCTACTTTTGCCCTTGCCCATTCCACCATCAATCCATTACCAACACAGCAGCCAGAATAATGATAATGTCAAAATGGAAATCAGATATCATACCACTACCCAAAACCCTCCAAAGACTTCCCATTTCACTCAGCATAAAAGCTAAAGTCCTGCAAAGGACCAACAGAACTAGCAGCAACTGGGAGCTTATTAGAAATGGGCCCCACCTCAGAACTACAAAATTATAATCTGAATTTTAACAAGAACACCTTAGGTAATTCATATGCACATTAAAGTTTAAAAAGTATTTGCATAAGGCACCACAATAAAAGTACCCACCCTCCCAGGCCCTTGCCATTCCTCAGGCAAACTTCTGTCTCAGGACATTTGCACTTGCCTTTTGCTATGGCTGGAATGCTCTACTTTTATCTCTTCTCACCTCTTTAAACCTTTATTGAAATGTCACCTTATCTGTAAGACTGTCTGTGAATACTCAATCCCTCCCCTCAATATGTCCTATTCCACTTTCCTGTTTTTACTTTTCTCATTGGAACTTGTCATCATAGTTAAAAAGCTGCATTTTTACCTATTTATCTTATCTAGTCCATCTCTCCATATAATATATATAATACTAGAGGCCCGGTGCACAAAAATTTGTGCACGGATGGGTAGGAGGAGAGTGTCCCTAAGCCCGACCTGTGCCCTCTCCCAGTCTGGGACCCCTCGGGGGGTGACCACCTGCTGGTTTAGGCCTGCTCCCCGGGGGATTGGGCCTAAGCTGGCAAGCAGACATCCCTGTGGCAGCCCGGCAGCCCTTGGGGGATGTCCACATGCCAGCAGGGAGCAGACCTAAGCTGCAGTCGGACATCCTTAGTGCTGCAGGAGAGGAGGCAGGAGAGGCTCCCACCACCACCGCTGTACTGGCAGCCATCAT